CCCAAAGGCAAAATAAGGGCAACTTTTTAAAAATTCAGTTGGAAAAATCAAAAAGGGAAAGTAGCAGAGATACAGTTGCTGATGTAGTCAAGTCAGTATCAGGCTTCTCACACTGCTCCCAGTGCCTATCCCAGAAGATTGAGAATAATGCTAGGCACATAATTAAATTGGGTAGCTAACTCTTCAAGTCTAATGCAAATACCTCCCTCATTTAGCTGGTCATTCCATTTGGTTTAGATAAAGAGAAACCACATCAACATACAAATATCTAAACTCTCTCTTTTCTAAAAGGCTCAAAGGAAGAATACACTTTCAGAAAAGTTTAGATGGAAAAGATAACCAACAATGAAACTATTCAACCTGTCAATGATAGCAGTCCATAGCACTGTTGCTATTGCTACTGACTACTTAAGATCTTTCATTAGTGATATTTTACTTTCTTTTAAAAATAAATTATAAATGCTTTTTCCATATATCAAAGTTCATCAAAGAACTCCCAAAATTAATCTTCTTCATTCTTCAGGAATTATTTATTCACACACCAGACCACCTACAGAAAAAGATTCATTTTAGAAAGTCAGATTTCAAACATCTTTTGCTACTGACTACATATCAAAAGGGGCTAGCTATGAGGTGGAAGACCCTGGATGTAAACCTCTTTGGTTATATCTCTGAATGTAATGTCCTTGACTGGAGGGATAATCTTTCTCCTCTAGGCATTTTCCAGGGTCTTTTTTTACTGAATGAATAAATGTTTGAATGGCAGAAATTACTCTTTCTGGATTATCTTGAGATCATATTTTCATACATAATCAGTTGTGTGTGTGTAAAATTCAGCACATTTTTAAGCATCCAACTGTTAAGTAGTTAAACTTAATACTGAGTGTCACCACTACTCAGTACTAGTCTTTTAATTTCTTTCAATGACTTTAGTCTCCAAAATGGGTTCTTCAGGCTTCTTCTGACTCCCAAAGGCAAAATGATAGTAACCATCCATTTCCTCCTGTTATTTCTAATGAGGTTCTAGGTTCGACTTTCTCTTTTCAGTAAAAGAAGCAGTCATAAAATAGAAAAAAATTGTCTAGAATTGCCACCATACCTATTTTTTCTTGAGTTTTCAAGTCTCTGCCTTTGCTACTACTAAATTTTCAGATAATTTATACCTAGCATTATCCCTGCTATTCATCTTCAAACTTAGGCCAGTGGTTGTTAGAGAGGAGCGCACCTGAAAATCATCTAGGAGTTTCTCAGTCACCAGGTGCAGACCAAGGCCCAAGTCTTGAATTTTGGAAACCATTCTTCAGCTAATTCTGAGATGCACCTCTGGGTAAGAAACACTGACGAATGTAACCTAGTTTCATGTTAAGTATAAAAAATGTATAATAGACTTTATTCCCCATTTACTGCACTTGAGGTACAGTTAAGATCTACTTAGGAATAACATTAAAATCTACAAAGGTTTTTTAATTAAGGAACTTTCATGATCATTGCCTGAAAGATCTAAGTTCGCAAAATATTCTCCTTTAACGCTATTCTCAAAAAAAACGTGGTCTAACAGTCTAAGAAATAACCAATTAAGGTTATCGTATAGCAATGCAGACAGCTGTGTTAGATTTCACCCTCCAGCCAATGGCCTGTTTACTGGGTTATATGCAACTGTACATTTCAGTAACAGGCCTTTCTGATTAGCATTCATAATGAGGTTTTAAGATTGAAGATCAAGATTATGTGCAATCCTAAAAATGATATGTTGGCACTAGAATCTCATTAAGTACAGGTGAAGTGTAAAGTGCCTATGATTTGGAGAATATAAAAGATCTGAACTCTGATTTAATTCCACCACTATCCATTAACTTGATCAAGTCTTTTTTGACTTCACTGTTCCTCCACTTCGCCATGGAGGTTGGGGAAATAGGACACCTGGGACCAATGAAGATCCAAACACCCAGTCCTGTTCCAAAAACATTATTACACTGAAAATGGAAAACATGGCAGTTTGAATTCTTAGAAAGGTCCTATATGGATTCAGATGATTCTTCTTGTAACTAGGATTCAGAAATACATGATCAAGTCATATACTTAACAGACCTCAACTGAACTATTTTGTTCTGGTTTTTACAGATGATTTATTTTACATTTAATCATCACAACAACTCTATGAAGTAGTTTGGGCATGTATTATTACCTCCATTTTATGGATGAGGAAACCAAAGTACAGAAAGTTAAGGCCCTCCCCAAGACCACACAATCAGTTAAACAGATTTTCTAAGTCGAAAGTTTTTGCATTTTCTTTTACACACAAGTGAAGTACAGACATCATTCTTACTCTGCCCCAATAACATAAAGAAAACTGTGATATCATATCGTACTTCTGATTATATGCCACTTATAACAATTGTACCACCTTTTTTTTTGAGACGGAGTTTTGTTCTTGTTACCCAGGCTGGAGTGCAATAGCGCAATCTTGACTCACCGCAACCTCCGCCTCCTGGGTTCAGGCAATTCTCCTGCCTCAGCCTCCTGAGTAGCTGGGATTACAGGCACGTGCCACCATGCCCAGCTAATTTTTTGTATTTTTAGTAGAGATGGGGTTTCACCATGTTAACCAGGATGGTCTTGATCTCTTGACCTTGTGATCCACCCACCTCGGCCTCCCAAAGTGCTGGGATTACAGGCGTGAGCCACCGCGCCCAGCCAATTGTACCACCTTTGTGGTTCAGATGAAGTCCAAGATAAGCTTTCGATATTCCTGAAATTAGCATTTCCTTCATATATTTTTTAAATTATCCCTTTTTATCAAAGCAGGCTCAGCACAAGCCTATAGCTTACACAACTAACTAGGGAGTTAGATTATGAACAAGGAAACCATGCACAAGTTTTGAGGTAGCATCTTTAAAAACAGTTAATAAAGTACACTTATACTTTTTAAGAATGCACTCCCCTTCAAATTTACTTATTTTCCAAAATGGTTCATTATGGGATTTCTTTAACTAACCATCTAGTCTAAAAGCTACTTAAGTATATCATATACACAACAGAAGATATACCATACTATATATAGAATCACAAAATGTATTATTGTTCTCTTTTTATAAATAATAAGTGAAATTCAGAGGATTAATGTCTCGATGAAGCTAAATGTAGCTGAAGTGAAAAACATGCTAAACTAAACATCAGGAGAATAAAAATAAAGCCCTCGGGACTTTCAGCCTAGACTGTTTTCCATTACACAGTAACTTCTTATCAGCTTGTGACAAGTTCCTTATCCCTCCTTTTTTATAGCTCAGTGAGGAAGAGCAGCCATATGCGAAATGCCAAAGAGGCAGGAAAGAGGTGCAAGGGAAAGAAGCCAGGGTCTCCAGTACTAATATACTGGCATGTGGTTTTGGCATTATCTCTCACTATTATTAAGTTAAAAGAGGTAGTGTGGTGTGGAAGTTAGGGTAGAGGCAAAAAGCAGAGTCAGCCTAGAAACTGAAGCTCCAGTTCTGCTACTGCTCAACCCACCCTGGGGGTCATTTCATAACCATGAGCCTTAATTTCCTTATTTATTCATTCACTTAATTAACAACCCTCCTTTGGGCACCTACTATGACCCTGGCACTGTTATAGGTGGTGGGGATATGACAATAAACGAAATAGAAAATTTTTACTTTCTCAGAGCTTACATTCTAGCTGCCATGAATCAATACAGATGATTAAAAATATATGTAATATCTAGGAGGCAGTGTATAGAATAATCACTAGCTACATGTGGCTATTAAAATTTTTAAAAACCAAAAATTTAGTACCTCAGTCTCACCAGCCACAATTCACGTGCTCAGCAGCCACATATGGCTAGTGGCTACCAGACTCGTGCGGGCAAATACAGAACATTTCCATCTTCACAGAAAGCTCTGTTGGGACAGCACCATGACAGAGTGATGGGGAAGGGATGCTAATTTATACGGGGTGTTGAGGGAAAGCCTCTCTAAAAAGGAGACTTTTGAAGCGACCTGAGTAAAGAGTGTGTGTGAGTGTAAGCTAAGTTGATACCTGAAGAAAGAGCTTCCAAACAAAAGAATATCATTTATTTGTGGAATTGTTGGACACATATCCCTTAAGGTCCCTTTCAGCACTTAAATTTGGATTCAAAGTTCTAAGTTCTTATAAAAAATGGCCTGAAGCTTTAGTTTTATTAGAATAAAGCATGGCACAAAAGAAATAACTACAATTCAATTTTCATTTTTCAGAAAGCAATACTCCATGGGAAACCTACTCGCTACTTAAAAGGCACGGTGGCTCACGCCTCGAATCCCAGTACTTTGGGAGACCAAGGCAGGAGGATTGCTTGAGTACAGGAGGTTGAGACCAGCCTGGGCAACATGGTGAAACCCCATCTCCAAAACACAATACAAAAAATTAGCCAGGAATGATGGCCCACACCTGTAGTCCCAGCTACTCAGGAGGCTGAGGAGGTGGGAGGATCACCCTAGCCCAGGAGGTTGAGGCTGCAGTGAGCTGTGATTGTGCCACCTCACCCCAGCCTGGATAACAGAGTGAGACCTTGTCTCAAAACAAACAAACAAAACAAAAAACACGAAGCATTTACTGAAGTCCCACAATATTAGACATAAGAGAGTATTTTTCTCTTAGTTCCTTCAATTTTCCTAAAGCCATGAGACCTAAAGGCTTTTGTCTCTCATCCAAGTACTAACCAGGCCTGACCCTGCTTTGCTTCCGAGATCTGACAAAATCAGGCGCGTTCAGGGTGGTATGGCCATAGACAAGGCTTTTGTCAAACACTTTCTTGAAAACTAAATTCTCCCCTTCCCCAATCTGCTAAATGCCTCTCAATTTACTGACATAATTTACTCCCTTCAAACTGAAAAATCGTGGTTTTTTTAAAATTAATACTTAGGCATTTTATATTAACCAGGTGAACTACCTTTCAAATACAACACAGCCCAACTGCTGCTAAATCTGTAAAGCAATACACAAATTTGAAGGAAGAAGCTTACCGTTTCATATTTTAAATCCTAGGGCTCTCATGCATTCCTTGTGGGCCTCAATTAGATGTCCACAGTGTTCTTCTCCTTTCTCGATGATACTATAAAACAAAATGTACTTGTTATCTAAATAGGCATTAAGCACATTATTAAGTATGCATGATAGTGATGGAGAGTAAGACAAAACGTGTATAATGGAATGTAGCTGGAGTTAAAACAAATGCTATTACATCAAACAGATTTGTTTTTATTTGATCTTATGATATTTCCATGCCTATGAAGACATTCCACAGATAAGTAATTTTGGGGGGGAAATCTGATAAGAAATAATCACGCATATCAAATATTGCCTCCAGTCAATATCCACAGAATAACATTGCCTTATAAAGAAATAAACTCATAAGTATGAAGTACGTAATTTTCACTAATCACAGGGTAAATATAAAACTGATTCATTAAATTCATAGAACATAATAATTGTTTGAAATATAGTGTTTTTACTTAAATGCTTTTTTGTCTGTTTCTACCCCCCAGTCTATTATTTTTTAAACTAGTTAATGCATAAGTGGTGTTTTGGGGATGATAAATTACTTACACATTTTCGATGTAGTAAACATGTATATGTATGTGTGTGGGTGTGTATCTAACTACTTTGTTGGAGTGATTCCTATGGTTTGGAACTGCTGGGGCCAAGTTTATGCAAAAATCTATATTTTTGAGTAAACTTCCCATGACTAGAGTAAGTTTCCCCAGTATTTGCAAATTCTTCATTTCCTAAAGCTGTACAAACATCAGATAATCGATATTTGTAAGAATCAATAATGTAATTTATAATGACATTACTTTCTCAGCTATTTTGTTAACTGTATCATCATATAGCCTATAACTCATTTGTGCTATTCCATTTTCCTGTGTTCCTTTTATTTTCACTTCTCTTGTAATGTTAGTCTCTTTGTACTGATATCTGAAGACTTCGTTTATGATTAACGATGTTAATATTTTGTCTAGAATTGCAAATATGTTTTTTCTCATTCATTTTACTGTGGTGGTTTATTTTTTGGTTATGCAGAAGTTGTATATTGAAATACGAAATATAATCTTGTTCTATTTTATGGCAAAAAAAAGAAATAAACTGACTGAATAAAGTATTTATGCTAATTGAAGGGCAGAGAGAACAGCTCAATTTTTTTGATTATCACAGAGAAATTAACTTTCTGATTCTGCCCTACATTCAAATACAACAAAATAAATCTACTTCTAATTACAAGACATCCAAAAACATAAACATCAAAAAGCTCTGGTAACCAGGAGACCAAGATGAGATCCCTCATGATGATCAAAGAATATTTTACTTGTAAAATTCACAAAGTAAAGACTAGGACTACACAACTTTATTTCTAGGGCCTGAAAATGTGATTTAGCGAATAATCAAGTTAAGCCAAATTCAATAACAAGTAAAAACTGACTCTTGGCCATGGACATTTCGGGAGAACCCACGTTGTCTGAGGCAACTGAGGCAAAACAAATTTAAAGAAGGGAATAGGTTCTCCTTCCATGGAAACTCTCTACCCATCCTTCAATAGCTCAAGAGCTGCCTGCAAATGGGAGACTGAGATAGTGAGCTCCTTATGAAGATAATAGCCCGCATTCATTGTTCATTTATTGCTATATATACTGTCCTAGGCACTTGGGATGGCTTACATCATTAACCCTTACAATAATACTGGAGAGGGTTTCTTTTATTAGAGCCATTTTATAGACACGAGGCTCAAGGTCACCAAGTTAGTGGATCAAGATTCAAATCCTGACTGTGGATCCCAGGCTCTTAATCATACTGCCATACTATTCAAGGTTCAATAGCACTTACTGTTACCACGGGAACAATTTATTCACACTGCAGTCTTTCAATTCTCCCTTCACAGTATTATTTACAAAGTACTGAGGATTAATAAAAGGACTGAGCTCCTACACTCTTATTATCTCATTATAAGACTTATGATTTCTTTCTTATATCTACTACTTTGGAAGACAAAAGGGGCTAGTGAAAGAGATGCACATTCAGGTTATGAGACGTGCACTAATGAGGTTAAAAATTAGGCCGGGCGCGGTGGCTCACGCCTGTAATCCCAGCACTTTGGGAGGCCAAGGCAGGTGGATCACGAGGTCAAGAAATAGAGACCATCCTGGTCAACATAGTGAAACCCCGTCTCTACTAAAAATACAAAAAAAATTAGCTGGGCACGGTGGCGCGTGCCTGTAATCCCAGCCACTCGGGAGGCTGAGGCAGGAGAATTGCCTGAACCCAGGAGGCGGAGGTTGCGGTGAGCCGAGATCGCGCCATTGCACTCCAGCCTGGGTAACATGAGCGAAACTCCGGCTCAAAAAAAAAAAAAAATTGAGCTGTTCTCTGTGCCCTTCATTTAGCATAAATATACTATACAGCCAGTTTATTTCTTTATAGAGAATGTTATTCCTTGGGTATTGACCATAATGAGATATAAAACGAGAACAAACCTTTTGTGGACTGCCAATCTAGGTAACTATTATCTGCACTATGTCCCCTGCGCCGTAGACTGGTTGATTTTCAACTTTTAGTTGCCTTCAAAGGGCTTAAGGAGAACTCATCAGAACTGTAACGAATGTACCCTGTGTCCTACTGTCTCTAAATTTTGGGAGAATGCCTTAGAAATTACCAGAAAACCTTTCCTGTTTGGTCTTAACGAATCTTCTATCATAGCCCTTACCACGTGGGACATAAGTCATTGGTATTTGTCTCCATTAATTAAGCTCCTTTATATCAGGATCCATCTTTATCCACAGACATTTTCGGACCTAACGCAGTGCTTAACCCGTAACAGACACTCAAAAAACATTTGTAGAAAGGAAAGAATGGTTGAAACTAGCCGTTCTCCTGTCTCTTCATCGTTTCCAGGAACTAAGCTATGGGATAAGTCAACAGAAAGCCGACCACGAAACCTACAGGGCCCAGTAATTATCTCCAGAGCGCCGCAATGAAAGGGGGGAGGAGGAGGGTGGACAGAAGAGGGCAGAGGGCAGGGGGCGTAGGGCAGAGGCACAGGAAGGCACAGGCCGCGGCCCGGGGCTCGTCGGCCGTGCCCTCTGCCGCTGCGCACTGACCACGCATCGCGCGCCTTCTTGGTCTCCGGGCAGGCGCAGCAGGGCTTCAGCGGCTTCTTCTCCTGAGACTCAGGCGGGGCAGGGTTTGAGTCGACCAGACCCGGCATCTTTCGCGCCAAAAGCAGCTAAGAGCGCAGATAGCCAAATCTATGCCAGCCTCTGTTAACGCCGATTCGTCGCAGGCACTTCCGGCAGTCGCTCTAAAAACGACAGGAAGTCCTGCCTCTCTTTGACCGATGGGGATTTACAAAGAGCGCTTGCGCAGAAGAGGCAAAATTAGGGCCTTGACACGATGGTGCCTCTTTAGCGCATGCGCAAGAAGGCCCGCTGAAAGGTCACCTGGACTGTAGTATTTATACTCTAGAACTCTAGGTCACAGAGTATTTGTTAAACCAACTTGGGGACGGCTCATGAAGAATGAAAGCAAGACAACAGAGAGATCTCGTAACACCCCCTCCTCCCCTCCCAATATCGAAACGGAAGCCCAAGATAGTGAAATGATTTATTCAAACCGAACAGGAGAAACCACAAGTGAAAGCCAGTTCCCTTAAATAACACACTAATTTTCCCTTTTTCATGCTGGGGTATTATCTGCCTTCTTCCTGATCCCCACACACTGCAGGTCTTTCCTGTCTTTTATTGACCTATTTAAAAATGAATAGTAAAGAACCACCCAATCCACACCTGTTGGGGGAATTTAAAAAGGTCCTCTAACCCCCTATACACCTCTGTGCACAAGAAATCCTCAGCTAATTTGCATTTATAGCCCCCCTCCAACTGATTTGAGTTCCGTATGAATTATTCAGTCATATTCGTTAATATATTAATAAAATTGAAAAATACCTTTCCATAGCATTTCCTCAGGTACATAGGTAAACCGGTGCCCATCTTATTTGCAACAAAATAAATATAATAATTTGATTTTTTTTCCTGCAGAGAATTGTTGGAAACAGGCAATAAACTTTTTTTTTTTTTGGAGACAGGATCTTGCTCTGTCCCTCAGGCTAGAGGTTAGAGAGCAGTGGCACCATCTTGGCCCACTGCTACCTCCACCTCCTGCGTTCCAGCTATTCTCCTGCCTCAGCCTCCAGGGTAGCTGAGATTACAAGGTGTACGCCACCCACCCGGTTCATTTTTGCATTTTTTAGTAGAGACCGGGTTTCACCATGTTGGCCAGGCTTGTCTCAAACTCCCACCCTCAGGTGATCCACCCACCTCGGCCTCCCAAAGTGCTGGAATTACAGGTGTGAGCCTCCCCCGGCAGCCTAAAATATTTTAAAAGTTAAAAAAACTGATGTGTTCACTTAGAATGTATATTCAGTTGAAACAATGTAACCTTCAGCCACAGTATCTTCCATATATGTAGGGCTGTTCAGTTTGTGAACCATCATTTAATTCTCATGGCAGTTGAAATTATTATCTACATTTATAGATGGGAAAAAATTGAAGTTCAGAGGTGCACATGATTTGTTCAAAGCCTGGATAACTTGAAAGTAGTAGTCCTGAGCCTCATCGTCTTCTCCCTGTATTCTGCCTACTATCCTACTTAATTTACCTAAATGCAAAAGAAGGCCAGATGCAGTGGCTCACACCTATAATCCCAGCACTTTGAGAGGCTGAGGCAGGCAGATCACTTGAGGTCAGAAGCCTGACCAACACGGTGAAAACCCAGATCTACTAAAAATACAAAAATTGGCCAGGAGTGGTAGTGCACACCTGTAACTCCAGCTATTTGGGAGGATGAGGCATGAGAATCACCTGAACCCAGGAGGTGGAGATTGCCGTGAGCCAAGATCATGCCACTGCACTCCAGCCTGTGTGATATAGGGAGACTCTGTCTCAACAAATTAATTAATTAATGCAAAGCAAATATTTCTGATTTTAAAAGTAATCATTGATCTGTATTCAGTTGTGCTATTGCATTTTTATGCATAGGAAATGAACAAGGAAGGAAAGGAAGATAAATGTCTAACAGAGTCTAGGGGGTTAAAAGAATTGAGATAAACATTAGAAACAGACTACAGACCAAAAGACTAAAACAGCTTTTCTGCAATTGAGAAGATAAGGCCAGGCGTGGTGACTCACACCTGTAATCCAAGCACTTTGAAGGCCAAGGTGGGTGGATCACCTGAGGTCAGGAGTTCAAGACCTGCCTGAATAACATGGTGAAACCCCATCATTTAAAAAAAAAAAAAAGATTTTTTTACCCACTGTCACTGCCTGCTTCAGGGAAGAAAGGGTACCGGCTGTGATGAGGCTGTTTGTGACCCTCAGGTTGGCTAATACTGGTGGGCCTCAGGCAAAGAAGTTGAGTAGCAGCCCTTTCTGCACCACCACCACGCTTCTTTAACCGGCTGTGTTCCAGACGTTTACAAACCTTTTCCTTACTGAGTGTTGTAACACTTACACTCTTTCAACAATTGCTTCTTCAGGATAAAATATTCTCCTGACTTTGGAGAAAGAAAGGCCAAAGTCCTTTTCAAAGTGAAATATTTAGTCATTTGTATCCAGCTAGTAAATTGTCCTCTTATGTTTCAGAATGGTACAGCTAACCCACATTTGTGGGGTACTTTTCCTTCTACCTTTTAATTTATATGAAATAAGGCGGTTTGCGCTGGCTCATACCTGTAATTCCAGCTCTTTGGGAGGCTGAAGCGGGTAGATCACTTGAGGTCAGGAGTTTGAGACCAGCCTGACCAACATGGTGAAACGCTGTTTCTACTAAAAATGCAAAAATTAGCCAGGCTTGGTGGCAGGTGCTGGTAATCCTAGCTACTTGGGAGGCTGAGTCAGGAGAATCCCTTGAACTAGTGAGCCAAGATGGCACCACTGCCCTCCAGCCTGGGCAACAGAGTGAGACTTTGTCTCAATAATAATAATTTTATATAAAGTAAGCTTAAGGTCAACTTTTGATTTTTATGTTCTCACTATGCTTTGCTCTTCTTCTTTTTCTTTATCATTTTTCATTTTCCTATCCAGCCTAAATGCTTCTATACTTGTGGGACGGCCTGTTTTGGTATCAAAGGAAAAATAGGCACATATAACATATGAAATGTATCATTTCCTATTCTACCCCAACAAAAATCTGATAACCCACTTCCTCCAAGAAAAATAATTTTAAAGAGCTGTAATTAGAGTTTAAATTGACAGTAGGTGGCTGATGAACACCAAATAATAAAAGATAAAATTCACCCATCTGTTTTACAAAGGCAACTTCGAGATTAGTTTGATTCATACATTTATATCAAGCTCTTGCTCAATTCTGATTTTAACCAGAATTGGAACTCTTTTAAACCTTTGGAACTCTTTGCTATTACTATAATTGCTAAATTAGTAGGTATTAAGACTTGAAATGGTGACTGTAGTGGACTTTTTCATAGCACAGTGAATATGTTTGTTGTGTGTTATTGAATGGGAACATTAGCTACCAGTGATACCAAACAGCAATTCTGTGGATGCATGACAGCCCTGGTAATGCCAGAAGCAACAACTAAGAAAATGCTTTCTAAAATCTTTCTATGAGAGAGGTATTTTTTTTAAGCCATTTTTGAGGCCTAACTAATCCCTGCTGTGGCAGCTTTACCAAGTAAGGTTAAGTAGTTGTAGGCAGAGAAGGAGCGACACCATATGTTGAGAGATAAGAATTACAAGACTTAAATTCTCATTGGCCTATCATAATATGTCTAGTTTGTATAAACTTACAAAAGTAAGATAAATTTTCTATTTATATCTGTCCCTGCAAAGAAAAAAATGCTTTCCAATTTCCACAGGTAAATATGTACTGTACAACATTCTCTATATCTGTGATTTTATTCCAATTGCCTGCCACAGTTTTCTGACTGTTGGTTGTATTAGTCCATTCTTATGCTGCTTTAAAGAAATTCCCAAGACTGGATAATTTATAAAGGAAATTATTAATTGATTTATAAATTAAAATTAATTTATAAACCGAGTTTAATTGACTCTCAGTTCTGCATTGCTGGGGAGGCTTCAGGAGACTTACAATCACGGCAGAAGGCAAAGGAGAAGCAGGCACCTTCTTCACAGGGCGGCAGGACAGAGTGAGTGCCAACACGGGAAATGCCAGACACTTATAAAACCATCAGATCAGGCTGGGCGCAGTGGCTCAAGCCTGTAATCCCAGCACTTTGGGAGGCCAAGGCAGGTGGATCACGAGGTCAAGAGATCGAGACAATCCTGGTCAACATGGTGAAACCCCGTCTCTACTAAAAATACAAAAAAATTAGCTGGGCATGGTGGTGTGTGCCTGTAATCCCAGCTACTCAGGAGGCTGAGACAGGAGAATTGCCTGAACCCAGGAGGCGGAGGTTGTGGTAAGCCAAGATCGCGCCATTGCACTCCAGCCTGGGTAACAAGAGCAAAACTCCATTTCAAAAAATAAATAAATAAATAAAAATAAAACCATCAGATCTTGTGAGACTCACTCACTATCACAAGAACAGCATGGGAGAAACTGCCCCCATGATCCAATTATCTCCACCTGGTTCCACCCTCGACACATAAGGATTACAATTCAAGATGACATTTTGGGTGGGGACACAGCCAAACCATATTATTGGTAGGAGCCTCCAAGCTGCTAGGTCACAGATGAAGGACAATTTATTACTTATGGCAGTAGCAGCAGCAGAATATCAGCATTTTTGTGTCAGTTCCCTGAGCTCCAAATCCCACGGGGTGATGTGAAGAAAGCCAGATGATATCCACATATGCATTGGGTTGAATTACAGGAAAGGAACAGTGAACTTAGGAAACCCAAATCTTTAGCTATGGGCAGTAAAAATGTCTGCCTTTTGCTCCCAAAGTAGACACTATCTTTGTCTTCCAAGGTTGTTTTCTAGAGGAGGAAACAAGGGCAAACAGTGCCACCCCTTGAAAGACATGCAGAAACATGTGCGCCAATGGAGAATTATCTCCCAACATGACTAGGTACTTTATTTTAATTAAATTTTATGAACTAACACTTCTGTCCAATATCAGAGTTTTTTTAAAATACAAGTAAACTAAATGACACAACCTAATTTTACAAAGGTTGTGTATTAGTTATTTATTGCTATTACTATGGACTGAATGTTTGTATCCTGCCATAATTTATATACTGAAACCCTAATCCCCAATGTGATGATATTTGAAGATGGAGTCTTTGGGAGATAAGTAAGTTTAGATGATGTCATGAAGATGGAGCCCTCATGGTGGTATTAGT